GACCCCGGGCGCGGGGCGGGGCTCACCGTCACCTCCTGGTAGGACTCCATGCCGTTCAGCACCACCTGGATGATCTGCCGGCGCAGCCTGATGTTCTGCTCGGAGCGGTACTCAGAGTTGGTCAGGTAAAAGAGGGCGGCGCTGCCTGTCACTTGGATGTTCTTATCGTACTTGTGGCACTTGAGGGCCGCAATGACCAGCTGTGGGAAGTGGGCGACAGGTGCCACGGCTGAGTGGGTCAGGAGGGGACAGGGCGGGACGGCACCCTGGGGCGGGGACGGGGCTGGGCGCCCACCTTCAGGGCCCGCAGCAGCTGGTTACAGCGTTCGATGCGCGCGATGTCGAAGAGCAGATTGATGGCCCGCGACGTGATCTCCGGCCGGTGCTCCATGTAGGCCTCGATGGCGTTCAGCACCTGCTCCTCATTTTTGTCACCACTCACCTGGGGACGGGGAGGGCGGTGTGAGAACCTCAGGCCTCGGCCTGGTCCCGCCCGGAGCACAGGCCGCTGCCCGCTTGTCCCGCCCAGGCTCACTTTGTAGGCCGGGATGTGCATGAGGCGGCACAGGGAGGTCTCGAAGAGCCCGAGGAACTGCAGGGGCCGCTTCAGAGCGCGGAAGGGCACGATGCTGCTCTTGGCAGGCTCGATGCTGGGGAAGAGGCGCCGGTCAGGGCGTGCAGGGCAATGCGCCTCTAGGGATGCTCCCTGTCCCCAGACGCAGCCTCGCCCTCCTCCTCTGAGGCTGGGGACACGCCCGCCTCTGGACGGGAAGCTGAGGAGGTCCCACGTCGCATGCGTGGGATGGGAAGGAAAGGACCTCTTGCCACTGGGCCACAGGCATGAGGCCATCACCTTGGGACGAGCTCGGCAGTGGAGCAGTGACGAAGTCCGCTCTGACCCAGGGCGTCCACCCATCTGCCGCGGGCGGCAACCCCGGAGCTGCACAGATGCTGCTGTTCTTTCTTTCTGTCTGTCTGTTTCTCTCTCTCTGTCCTTGAGACTGAATTCAGAGCTTTCACCTTCTCACTAAGCCCCAGCCCCAGCCCCTCTTTATTTTTTATTTTGAGATGGGCTCTTGCCAAATCCCTAAGTTGCCCAGGCTGGGCTCAAACTTTCCATCCTCCTGCCTCAGCCTCCCAGGGTGCTCGGATCACAGGTGTGTGCCACGCCTGGCCAGTATCAGCTCTTGTCACACAGCTCCTGCCAGTCAGAGCAGTTCCGTTCGCACACACTGTCCCTGCTGCTCGGTCCCCATCCCTTTGGCAAACTCAGGAGAACGAGCTTTCAGGACAAGGGGGGCCACTTCTTCCTCTCCTTCCTGGTCCTCAAGGCCACCCTGAGCCTGCACTCCTCTGACCCAGGAGCAACCTGTGGCCCCCAGGGCTCTCAGACCCTGGAGGGCAGGGCCCAACTCGCTTCCCCAGCGGTGGCAGCGGGGCCTTGGCGGGGTTGGCACGTGTGTCCCCGGGGGCCGCAGCAGCAGCCCTGGCGCCAGTGCCCACCTGGTCTGGCCAGCCTCCTCGTCCATCTTGGAGATGCTGCAGTTCTCCAGGATCATGTGGCCGGAGATGTCCAGGGACATGAGGTTCCCCAGCTTCTGCACAAACAGGCTCAGCACCTTCCGCGTGAGCTTGAACTTATAGTAGCTGGAGAGGCGGTCTCGGGAGATATCCAGGTGCCTGGCGGGGGCCCCAGGTCAGGACCTCGCTCCTGCCATGCAGAGCGGGGGGCCTGGACCGCCACAGCTGCTCCCCTCCAGCACCCGGGCCCCAGCGATGGACTCAGATGCCCGAGAGGTCCAGGGCGGCCAGCGAGCTGAGCGGCCGCAGCAGCGACTCCACGGGGACGCCATCGATCATGCGGCCCAGGTTGAGGAAGCGCAGGCGGCTGAAGCCCTCGAAGGTGAAGTCTTTCACCAGCACCTGGCAGGTGGGGTTCACCAGGCACTCGTCCTCGCAGCCCCCTGGGTTCTCCTCCTCGTAGAAGATGTTGGCGCAGCCAAAGAGGCTCAGGGACACCAGGGTGTGGCTGAAGCTGCGCAGCGTCTGCAGGCTCTTGGCGGACAGCTTCTCGCAGTTGGTCAGGTACAGCTCCACCAGGTCCTGCGGGCACCGAGGTCAGCGACCGCCACAGGCTGCCCGCGGCCCTGCTCTACCGGCCGTGCCTGGCTCCCCCGGGCAGCCTCACCTGCTTGCGGATGGCCTCCAGGTCCTGGTCCTGCACCAGGTCCTCGCGCAGGTGGATCCGGGTGAGGCGCGTGCTGCGGGGGTCCGAGAAGAGGCTGAAGAAGCTCTCGTGAGGCTCGAAGGTGCAGGCGGCATTGACCAGCTCCACGTACCTGGGAGAGACAACAGACACCTGCCTGGGGCTTCCTCAGAACACGAGGCCGCCCCTTCTGAAGCCGCGTGGCCTCCTCCTCTCCCTCCCCCACCAGCACTTGGCTGGGACCTGACTATGGACCAGGCGAAATGAAAGGTGCCCAAGGAACCAGGGATGGAAAGGTAGCTCTTGGAGGAACCTGGTAGTGCAGGGGACTCATTTGCCGTTTTTCTTTATTTTGTTGTTCTTATTGTTGTTTTTGCTACTGGGGATTGAACTCAGGTCCTTGCGCTTGCAAGGCAGGCAGCAGAACCACTGAGCTAAATCCCCGGCCCTGCTGTTGTCGGTTTTTTAAAACAGGGTGTACAAGGTAGTTCAGGCTGGCCTTGAACTCACCAGAGTGGACTTGGACTCACAGCAATCCTCCTGCCTCAGCCTCTTGAGTACTGGGATTATAGGCGTGGGCTATAATCTAGCTGCTGGGGCCTCTTATCAAGAGCCAAGGACCAGCTGGATATGGTGTCACGTGCCTGTAATCCCAGCACTTGGGAGGCTGAGACAGAAGGATTCCCAGAGTTCAAGGCCAGCCTGGGCTACACAACAAGACCCCATCTTAGAAAAAAGCTAATACCCATCTCTTCCCCCCAGAAGCCTGGACACCCCCACACCAAACAGACACCCACCTCTCGTACACCCTTCACCCACGCTACAGCAGCAGCACCCACCGCCATGTCTGCATCTGCTCAGTAAACCTGGAAGATTCCAGCTCACGCAGGATCCCTGGACGAGCAGGAGGCTCTGGAGGCCAACACTCTGGACCCTACATCCTGGCCTGGCTGCTCCCTACCAGGCAGCTCGACCCAGGATCTGAACTCCCCGGGACCTCAGTCTCTATCTGGAAAATGGCTGTAACTGTGGCCAGCAAAGTGTCCAACCGTGTGCCTGACCCACTCTGCACACGCTCAGGACATTGCTAGGCGTGCAGCTCTGAACTCGGTTCCCACGCGGTTCCCCTGGTCTAACGACTTCCTTCCCGGGCATCTGGACTGAGCCCCAACACTCAGGGAATAGGTCTCGGGATTCCTGGGGCCCCTAGCAGAGATGAACTCATATCTGCCCTTATTCCACAGGCACGGGCCCAGGGCTGAGCATGCATACAGCATTGTGGGACAGCATTATTCCTCCTTTCCACGCACTTGTTTATTTTCTGAGACAGGGACTCGCTATATATTCCAGGCTGGCCTTGAACTCTAGGCGATTCTCCTGCCTCAGCCTGCTGAATGCTGGGATTTTTGTTTCCTGGTACCACGAATCGAACTCAGGGCCTTGTGCTTGCCAGGCAGGCATGGTGCCACTGAGCGCCATCCCAGGCCCGAGTGCTGGGATTATGTATGTGAACATGCAGATTTTTACGCTCTCTCACCCCAATACATGCACATCCTCCGTGCTGCTAAAGGCTAGTGTACACTAGTGTGCACACCCGGGCACACGCACCCTGACACATGCATTTACAGCATGGATACATGGCTACTTTGCACCCACGGCATCCGGGGGCTCTCTCTCCACCTCTGTGGGCCACACGCTCGGGCCACCCCACCCCGCCCGGCTGGCCGCTCACTCATTGACCAGCCGGTCGCAGATCTCGCTGGGCAGGAAGATGTCGGGGTGCAACCGCAGCGTCTCCCTGTCCAGCAGGTAGCCCAGGGTGCCGTCCAGGTTGCGCAGGCAGAAATCAGTGCAGAGGGCCATCAGGGACTCAGGGGTGTCAGATGCCATGCTGGGGGTGGCAGGCAGCCGCTCCAGGACAGGACCCCGGCAGCGGTGACACCTCGGCTCTCACAGGGTCATCGGAGGAGCCGCGCACGCCTGGGGAACTGAAGAGAAGCCAGGTGAGCTGTGGACAAGGGCCGACACCATCAGCTGCCCTATGTCCAGTCCTTGAGCAGGAAACGGAGGCCCCTGGATACCACATGCAAATTAGCCACTTAGCCGGGCCAGGCCCAGGACTCCTGACTCATCTTTTTATTTCTTTATGAGACAGGGTCTTGCTATGCACTTTAGGCTGGCTTTGAACTCACTATGTAGCCCAGGCTGGCCTTGAATTTGTGGAGAGCCTCCTGCCTCAGCCTCTTGAGCACTGGAATTGCAGGCCTGCTCCACCACGCCCAGCTTGGCTCCTTCTCTTGTCCCTTTCTGCTGCGCCACCATGTATGCGTGACCAGACCTGCAAAGAACAAGGGGGCCTTGTCCAAGCATTCTTTTGCCTTCACAATGTCTCCGGGTGGCAGGGTGTGCTGAGGCCTCACTGCTTGAGGGCAACAGGAACTTTATCAAATGCTTCTGGCATCAGAGGAGCTACAGGGCGGAGTCCCGTGTGGAGCAGAACTTTCTAACCCGCACATACTTACTGCTAACGAGCACTTAGCTGGGCCACGCCGCACACACAGTACTGGGGCTCATGGCATGTGAACATGAGAGCCTCTCCCCAGAGGATGAACATCTGTCCCTGCAGAGACCCGTGCACGAACGTTCAGCACGGCACCGTCCCTCGCAGTGAGAAAGGGGAACAGTCCATCTGCTTGTCAGCAGAGGAATGGACCCTCAAAACCTGCTTCATCTACACAAGGCCGCAGATCACTGAGTCACAGCAAGCTGAGTATAGGTGGGCGTGGTGTCACATGGCTGTAACCCCAGCATTTGAAGGCTGGAGGAGTGAAAGTTCGAGTCCAGCCTGGGCAACTTATCAAGATACAGTCTCAAAATAAGAAATTTAAAATTGCTAAAAAGGGGGCCAGGGATGTGGCTCTGTGTAAAGGTCCTGGGTTCATTCCCCAGTGCCACAAAGCAAAAACAAAATGATACCAGGAAGAATAGGGCACAGTGACACACACCTATAATCCCCGGTATGGGGAAAAGAAGCCTACAGGCCGGGATTTAGCTCAGTGGTGTCACCTGCCTAAAGTGCAAGGTCCTGAGTTCAATTCCTGGTAAAAAAAAAAAAAAGAAGAAGAAGAAGCCTATGCATTGGTGCACACCTATAATCCCAGCTACTTGGGAGGCTGAGTTAGGAGGGTCATGAAATTTAGTAAGACCTCTGTTAAGGAAAGGGGTGGGCATTTCCAATAATATACACAATATGGGATTTGTGGTTTTTTGGTCTTTTGAGACAAGGTCTTGCTATGTAGTTCAGGTTCGCCTTCAACTCACTATGTAGCCCACCCAGGCTGGCCTCAAACTTGCAGTAATCCTCCTGCCTCAGCTTCCCCGGTGCTGGGATTATAGGTATGCGCCACCATGCCCAGCTCAGAGGATGTATGTTTAGATATACAGGATAAGCAACTTCTACAAATCAGTCTTAAAAGAAAAAGACATAGTGTTCAATTTTAAAATTGGCAAGAAAAAGCTGGGCATGGTGGCACACACCTGTAATCTCAGCACTTGGAAGGCTGAGGCAGGAGGATCGATGTGAGTGAGTTCGAGACCAGCCTGGGTTACATAATGAGTTCCAGGTCATTCTCAACTACATAGTGAGACCCTGTCTCAAAAAAACCCAAACCAAAACAAAACAAAAACACCAAAACTAAAGTTGGCAAGAAAAACTGGATGCGGGGGAAATCCCAGCACTTGGGAGGATGAGGCGGGAAGGTTGAAAATTTGAGTCCAGCCTAGGCAACGTAGTGATATAGGAAGACCTTGTCTCAAAATTTAAAAAGCGGGGGGACTGGGATATAGCTCAGTGTAAAGGGCCTGGGTTCAAATCCCTGTAACACACCTCTCCTGCCTCCCCCACGAAAAGGTAAGAAAATAGCACAGACACCAAAGGGGTTCACACTGAAAAAGGGTTCAGAGTCCAACCTAGTAATCATCCAGCTAACAGTGCATACACCGTTACCCTCAAAGATTGAAAACTGAAACTTTATATTCACATGGACGAACCAGAAACAATCCAGCCAGGCCTGGCAGTTTTGCCCACAGCTCCAGTTCCTCAGGAGGCTGAGGCAGGAGGATCAGAGAGCCCAGGAGCTCGAGGCCAGTGTGGGCAACAGAGCAAGACCCTGTCTCAAAAACCAACCAATCAAACAACATAAGAAATAATTTCTAGAACTTAGGTCAGCCAACAATCAATTCCTGAACACAATGTTTTCCTACCAGGATCTGTATCAGTGTGTGGAATGGGGGAGCCAAACTACTGTGCTAGAGTCAGGGTGGTGCCCTTCTCTGTGGGCAGGCAGGAAGGAGCAGCTGGGCAGAGGGGCTTCTGAGCGCAGGCACAGTGTGCCCTTGAGGAAAGCCACCAGACTGTGGCCCAGTCCTGTGCACTCTGCATTATGTTCCACAGGTTCTGCATCTGTGGAAGCAACCAGCCATAGGTCAGAAATATGTGATGCTGGACTGGGGATTTAGCTCAGTGGTTCCAGCGCTGCCCCGCAAGCGCAAGAGTCCGAGTTCTATCCTCAGTACCAAAAAAGACAAAAAAAAAAAAGAAAGAAAGAAAAAAAGAAGTATGTGACACTGTGCCTGTCTGGCAAGCGCCATGTCCCAAGTTCCTTCCCCTGTATTCAAAAAAACCAAAAACCTTAAAAAACAAAAGAAATATGTGGAAAAATAATGCACCTGTACTGAACACAGGGACAGGCTTATACGTCACCATCCCTATCCAGCCGGGGATAGCCCCTTATACAGCATTACGTAGTATAAATGAACAAAAAAACGCACAGGTTTGTATGCACCTGTAATTTCAGCATTGGGGAAGCTGAGGCAGGAGGCCTGAGCTATACAGAGAGGCTCTGCCACAAACAGGCAGGCATACAAACAAAAGTGCAGGCTCTGCGGTCTGCTAACTTCCTGAGTTCTCCAGGGGAAAATGGCACGGGAGCCCTGCTCCCAGGGCTGGGCGAGTCAAAGTGCTGCTGGGGAGTCAAGGCCAGTGAGGAGACTGGAGCTCTGTGCACAGCACTCAGAGCACCCTGGGCTCCTGCCCCCCAGCCACCTGCTGTCACTGAAGGGGCACACAAGCGCTGCCCGAAGGCGGACCTGTCTCTAGTCCCAGCTGGCCATTTAAGAGCAGGTGGACTTGGGTGAGTGTCCTCACCTCTCCAGGATTTTCTCTAAAAGAGGGCAACATGGTCCCCTTTCCACAGCACTGCGGATGGTCACACGGACAACACAGAAAGGGCTTGGCATGGTGCCCGGCATCCAGGAATCGCTCAGTGAAAGACAGCAATTATTTCTCTTTTCTTTTCTTTTTTTTTTGTTTCTTCGAAACAGGATCTCACTATATAGTCCAGGCTGGCCTTGTACTCTCTTTATAGCCTAGCCTGGCTTCAAACTCACAGCGATCCTCCTGCCTCAGCCTCCCAAGTGCTGGGATTATGGGCTTGCGCCACCACGCCCAGCTAAAACAGCATTCTTGCCACCTTCTTCTCCCCTAGCTGCCGTGACCCCAACCCCGAACAGGTCTGGCCCAGCTCAGCTCCAGGCTTGCACAGGGTCCACTGCACCACTGTCCCACTGTCAACACAACACCCTCAAGGGACAGTAAGGCAAGCAGGAAGCCTGCGCCCTGGTCTGACCTTCCACCTTCATTTACTTCCGGGTCTTCAAGCACCCAGCAGTGGTTCCTGGGGGAGGCCCTGCCCTACGGGGCCCTGCAACTTCTAGTGTCATCCAGCAGTTGCTCCAGGGCCCCGGATGCAAAGCGGCCTGCCCAGCTCCTTAGTCCCCTGGGGCCCCTGCTCCAACCAGCCTGGCAGGAGGCCCTAGGCCTGGGTCACCTTCAGACTTCTGCTTGGCCTGTCTTCTGCAGTGCGGACCCTCTGAATCCAACTGGTTACTCCCATTCTCCTCCAAGCACTGCGGGCCCCGCCCCAGCACACCCCAGGTCCTTCCTCCGGGAGGCGCCTCCTGACTGCCCGGCCCCACTGCTGCTGTGCTCTCCTCTTGCTCAGCTGGTTCTATGTTGCAGTGGCAAGGCAGCTTCTGGGAGGCCACCCCTTACCGGCCAGGATGATCCCACTGGTGTCCCCACAGGCCCTGTCCCGACGCCACTGTAACCACCAGGCTTCTCCCCCGGCACGGCCTCCCTGGGCCTGTGGACTCAGCAACCAGCCCCTGAACACCAGCAGGACCAGCCAGGTCCACGGCCTCCTGCAACATCTGGGCTCTGCAGGACACACAGATGCACGACGTAACCGGGGCCAGCGTTGGGAGTTCCCAGGGGGTGCACGCCTGCAGCCCAGCACTCAGGACTGTACAGATAGAAGCAAAGTAGCTGAGTGGCCCCCTTCGCGTCCCCTGTACACGCCGGGCCTCCCTAACGGTTATCCCTCTTCCATGACCCCAAGACAGGGGAGCCACCTCCCTTCCCTTCATTCAACCGTAACCCAAACACCACCCTAACGATGGATTATCCAGGTTTAAACTCAGCAGGTCTGCAGATTGCTGACAGCAGCGGGAGAGACAGTGGGAGGTGCCTGGGGGGCCACGGTGTCTGCCCCTATAAATACCAGGAGCCTGCGTGATCAAGTCTCTTCTTTCCCTTTGCCCTCAAATCCCTTTTCCCTTTACCCTTCTCTCTGTTCCTGCTACTGTCCCGTGAGCCTCGGCAAATGTAGCTACTTACTACATACTGTAAGGGGTATGCTCAGCAATTCTGTCCTTGTCGTACACAAGAACATAGACTAGTTTTGGCCCACTCAACTATAGCAAGGAGGCTGAGGCAGGAAGATTGCTGAGAGTTCAAGATCAGCTTGAATTACATTGTGAGATCCTGTCTAAAAAAAAAAAAAGAAGGTACATTTGGGAGACTCCAAAGGCGAGTCCTGGTTACCTGGTGGCAGGAGAGGGAAGGGGATGTGCAGACTGGAAAGAAGGGCCTGGGGGGCAGTGGGGCCATGGGCCCAGGTCCAGGAATGCTGGCTAAGAGCAGGGAAGCCAGTGGACACACTCCAGCAAATGCCCATGGCTGGGGCAACAAAGGACCTGCGGGGGCGCGAACCAGCTGGGAACGGGCCACTGTGCCCACAGCTGAGCCTCGTGACCGCATGGTGAGAGCTGCCGGTCTGAGCCAGGTACCCACAGGGCCGCTGTGCCCTGCTCCGGTTCCCAGGCTGAGGAGA